CTTAAAAGGGGGGGGGGGGCAGGGACAGTCACTCAGGCGCAGACACCGCCCCTGTCTCCCAGCTCTCAGAGGGAAGTTCCAGTCTTTTCCTCTTTCTAAACATCTAAAGCCTGAAGTTTCTTTGTCCAGACCCCATTGGCAAGAACTTTGTTACCCTCGGGGTCCCTGTGACCAGCTGGGAGGCTGCAGCTGGTGCCCTCCCCAGAAACTTGCCCCTTGGCCCAGCCTGTGCTCTCCGGCTTCTTCCCCAGCCCACCCAGCCTCTCTCCAGAGTCCCCATTTCCTCACACCCAGTGCTTCACCAACCCACACATTTGATTTGTGGAAGGAGATTTAAAATGCTGAAGCGGTAAGAGAAGCAGCAGCTGCCTGCATCTGGCTGCTGCTGGGGACCCTGCAGAGCTCATGGATTTGCCCGGATCAGCCACAGGGAAGAAACTGCTTATGTTCTGCGAGCCACGTGGAGGTTACCGCCCGGCTGTTGATGCCGTGTAAGAGGCAGAGTGGATATTTTGGGGTTTTGGTTTTGGCCAACTTCCCTGGGCCTGGCTTCAAGGGAGCTGCCTTCCTGGGGGGGAAGTGAAACAGTCCCTTTTGTCACAGTGTCTGTGAAGTCTTCACAGACTGCATAGGCTTTTACATAGCATTTGGACTCTGTTAATGTCATTGTTGTTAACTGACAAGCCAATTCAATCTGTCACTATTACCTTTATTTTAATAGAAATTGGTGGTCTCCAGTAGGTAAAGATAGGTGAGGGCTGTAGGTATCCCAAAAGCTAGCTACTAGGTGTACCTCACAATGGAGGAAACTCTCTGCTCTACCAGATCTATTAGAAATTTACGGTAATTAACAGAGTATGGTGTTGGCACAAGGATAGGTAGACCAGTGGACAAAATGGAAAACCCAGAAAGAGACCCACGTGTATTTGGACATTTTGATACTGACCAAGCCAGCCTTGCAGATCATTGAGGAGAGGTCAGATGCCTTAGGAAATGGATATCCATATGCAAAACAAAAAAGAGCTAAGCTCTCCCTCACATGTAATTATTTCCAAGGAAATTAAAGACCTGAATGTAAGAGGCAGTGCTGTGAAAGGTTCTAAAAGATAAAAACAGGGAGATGTCTTCATAATCTCCAGGTATTAGAGGGATTTCTAAAGACCCAAAAGACAACCACAAAATGATTGACTTATTTGACTCCATTAAATTTAAGAACTTCTGTTCATCAAAAAAAAAACAGTGAAAACAAGGCTCTAAATCCTGCCATACCTACAAGCCTTTATTATCAAGCAGCAACCTAAACAGCCTCTCCGGTGGTTCTGTAAGCTGGCTGAAATGCCAGCTGCCTGCCTGACACCACTTTGCATAGAAGTTTCCTCGAGACAGATGCAACGGTAGGCTTGTGGCAGGATCGGCCAGTCCTAACTGTGGCCTCACAGTGAAACCTCAAGAAGAGGCAGAACTCAGAGGACTC